CTGTGATGCTAAAGCTTGTGAACGATGATCAGGAAACACTGTCTGTTCGGCAAGGTCACAGAATGATGGACCTCGCTATAAAAAGAGATCTCAGAAATCAGAAGTGGACTGAACTGTTTAATCCATTGTCCTGCAGAGCAAAGGCGCATGAGGTTCCATTGATTCTTTACTGTAAGCCGTCCAAAGATGTCAAGGGGGCTCGGACAATTCGAGATGCTCAATTATTCATGCTACTTCATCTAAGAAGCCGGTGGATGTGGAGTGATTTATTCAGGCATTGATGTTTAAATGCTTAAAGCTTTGGCTCACTTCCACAATGATCATTTCATGATTATAGTTTATATACTTATATATATCTTCAGGGGGTGGCGCAGTGGGTAGCACGATCGCCTCACAGGAAGAAGGTATCTGGTTCGAGCCTCGGCTGGGTCAGTTGGCATTTCTGTATGGAGTTTGCATGTCCTCCCAGTGTTGGCGTGGGTTTCCTCCGGGTGCTCTGGTTTCCCCCACAGTCCAAACACATGAGCGCATAGGGGAATTGATTAAATAAATTGGCCCTAGAGTAGGAGTGTGTGTGTGTGAATGTGAGAGTGTATGGGTGTTTCCCAGTATTGGGTTGCTGCTTGAAGTGCAAAAAAGTAAATGCACCCTCTAGTGGATTTGTTAATCTGAATCATGCTTAATGAACCTTATGTAATGTATTTCTGATTTGCAAAAATGTAGACAGCGCCCTCTAGTGTATCAGACATCTGAAATATACAAAACAAACCCTAAGTAATGTATTTCTTATTCATTAAGATTGAGACAGTGCCCTCTAGTGGATTTGACATCTACAAATGTACGGAATGTTTTGATTTGCAAAAATGTAGACAGTGCCCTCTACTGTTTTTTTTTTATAATCATCTGAAACATGAAGCGTATATAAACTATGAAAAAATGTATGCTGATGCACATATTCCAGCACGCCTGCATTGCTTGCTAAACCTTAATCTCATTTCTAAAGCACTGGTGGATTTGGTTAATGGTCACCACAGGAAATATTTACACAAGAATATTGACTCAGGCCATGTTCGTTCATTACTTTTAGTGAATATTATTTCAAGCTTTCACATAGCTTGGTATAATAGCAGCCCAGTTTAACCCTGGTCCAGGGCACTCATCTTTATAACCATCTAGAGAAAACTCAACCATCAAAACTCATGTTTCTGTTCTCGAATCATATCTCTCTCATTTATTTTTAATCCAAGAGCAAGACGTCAGGGGTCTTCGTAAATACTCAAATAAATATTAGAGTTGCATTTGGAAAGACTTTTGAGGTTTAAAAGGTGAACCAGCACTTGATACTGCAGCACCTGCCTATATAATATTAATAATATCACAACTTTTGTCTCTTAGAAATGAACAGACGTTTCAGACATTTTTAGATCAACATATCACAGGGAAAAGAGGCTTAATTTTAGATTGTATGGTGCTTCTTATAAAAAAGTAGCATAAATGCATTTATTTTAATTCACAGTTATACTCATTAAATAATCTGTGTGACTATTATGTTTTTTTTAGTTTGTTTTCTCTATTTTGCAACAGAAATTGCAACACTTACATGGTACCAGTGCAATCTAACAACTTACTGTGCATTCACACCGAAGGCGGTGAGAGCGTCAAAGGTCGCTCTGTTCGCCCTGGCGACAACGCAGTTTCTCTTCAGCTCCGCTACATTGATCTCGTATTTAAAGGGGTCGTTGCAGCATATCATATCAGTTACATTTCTGCATAAAACATGCCTTCTAGCGTTAAAATGCTGTGCACTTTTTATCAAATTCGTTTAACAATAGAAGATCAAGTTGTATGTGCTGTGGCTTTGCTCTACTTAATTATCCAATGTGTCCACATGTCTGAAATATAAAGCAGCAATGCTGTTTTTAGATTGTTGTATGAGATTCCTGCTTTTTTAAAGAAAAAATGTATATTTATAACATTAATGCACATCAGTAACTCGCCAGTAACTTTTTAAATGTGTGTTTCTTTAAGAAAATATTGCAAATGATGGGAAATCCGGCGACCACCATAATCAAACCCTTGGAAGCAGCTGTAGTCGGAACTTCTCTTTGCTATTTGAAGTGAATTGGAGTTCACAGTGACTGTGTTCTCTGGGCTTCTCTCAAGTGGTGAACTTCTTCATTCTGATTGGTTGTCCTCGAACCGCATCATAGGTCATTACCATAAAGTTGACTTAACTTCAACTTTCCTCGATGCCCACACCAGCGAAGATGTGCCGCGCTGCTCCTTGCCGCTTATTGCCGCCGGCTCCCATTGAAAATAAATGACTTCCGGCTACTTTGGGTTCAGTGATTGAAGATGTGGCTGCGCAATCTGAAGGTTGTGGGTTTAAAACTTGCAGTGGGGGATTTATGAACTGGAGATCCACTGTCATCATTGTGCCCTTGGGCAAAACTCTTGACCCTATGTAGTGATTTCCAGTGGGGCTGTCACTGTGATGAATGTACTGTGAGGCCCACTAAAATGATACACAAGAAATTACAAACTGATTAACCATATCCAGCTGAATCAAATCGTTTTATCTGTTCAGCTGCAGCCTTTCTGATTTTGATTGGCTAAAATTAGCAAACCACTCCCCTCGATACCTTATTCGGTGGCTAAAACGGCAAGCCACTCCCCTCACTTATTACTTTTTTATTTGCTAACATGATAAACCACACTGCTTACTTGAATTTTTTGCCACACTCCTAATTCTCTCTGCTCTTTTTTTATTGGCTAATAATGGCAAGCCGAGTCCTCGTAAATTGATTTGGCTAAAAATGGCAAGCGACTCCCCTCTCTTGTTTGTCATTTTTGATTGGCTAAAATGGCATGCCGAGTCCTTGCCATTTTATTTAACCAAAAATGACAAGCCACTCCCCTCATTGTCATTTTTAATTGGCTAAAATGACAAGCCGCTCCCCTCATTGTCATTTTTGATTGGCTAAAATGGCAAGCCACTCCCCTCATTGTCATTTTTGTTTGGCTAAAATGGCAAGCCACTCCCCTCATTGTCATTTTTCATTGGCTAAAATGACAAGCCGCTCCCCTCATTGTCATTTTTGATTGGCTAAAATGACAAGCCGCTCCCCTCATTGTCATTTTTGATTGGCTAAAATGGCAAGCCACTCCCCTCATTGTCATTTTTGATTGGCTAAAATGGCAAGCCGCTCCCCTCATTGTCATTTTTGATTGGCTAAAATGGCAAGCCACTCCCCTCATTGTCATTTTTGATTGGCTAAAATGGCAAGCCACTCCCCTTATTGTCATTTTTCATTGGCTAAAATGACAAGCCGCTCCCCTCATTGTCATTTTTGATTAGCTAATATGGCAAGCCACTCCCCTCATTCTCATTTTTATTGGCTATAAATGGCAAGCCAAGGTCTTGTCTTGTGATTGACAAAAATGGCAAGCCACTCCTCTCATTTCTTTCTTTTGTTTTGATTGGTTAAAATGGCAAACCACTTCCCTCATTCTCGTTTTTGATTGGCTAAAAATGTTATGCCATTCTCCTCATTCTTATTTGTTATTGACTAAAAATAATATGCCATTCTCCCATTGCTCATTTTTTAATTGGCTAAAAATGGCAAGCCAACTTCTCACCTTTTGATTTGGTTAAAAGTGGCAAGCCATTCCTCTCATTTTTTTTCATTGGCTAAAATGGCAAACCATGTCCCTACCGATTTATTTTTTAATTGGCTACAAGGCGAGACACTTCTCCTTTTCTCATTTTTGATTGGCTAATAATGATACACTACTGCCTCTACTTTTTTTTTTGTATGGCTAAAGTTGTCAAATCACCCCTCTAACTACATTTTTTTTGGCTTGGGTAAAAAAAATAGCAATTTTCTCATTTTTGATTGCCTAAAAATTATAAGCCAGTACCTTTTCTTTTTTTCGAATGGCTACATTTGGCAAACCACGCCCCTAATTAACTGCTTTTTATTTTAATTGGCTAAAATGCCAAGCCACTCCCCATTTTCTCATTTTTAATTTGGCTAAAAATGGTAAGCCCCTCCTCTTACTTGTTTGAATGGCTAAAATGCCAAGCCACTCCCCTCGTTCTAATTTTTGATTGACTTAAATCCCAAGCCACTCCCCTTTTTCTCATTTTTAATTTGTCTAAAAATGGTAAGCCCCTCCTCTTACTTGTTTGAATGGCTAAAATGCCAAGCCACTCCCCTCGTTCTATTTTTTGATTGACTTAAATGCCAAGCCACTCCCCATTTTCTCATTTTTAATTTGGCTAAAAATGGTAAGCCCCTCCTCTTACTTGTTTGAATGGCTAAAATGCCAAGCCACTCCCCTCGTTCTAATTTTTGATTGACTTAAATGCCAAGCCACTCCCCCTTTTCTCATTTTTAATTTGTCTAAAAATGGTAAGCCCCTCCTCTTACTTGTTTGAATGGCTAAAATGCCAAGCCACTCCCCTCGTTCTAATTTTTGATTGACTTAAATGCCAAGCCACTCCCCCTTTTCTCATTTTTAATTTGTCTAAAAATGGTAAGCCCCTCCTCTTACTTGTTTGAATGGCTAAAATGCCAAGCCACTCCCCTCGTTCTAATTTTTGATTTACTAAAATGCCAAGCCACTCCCCCTTTTCTCATTGTTAATTTGGCTAAAAATGTTAAACCCCCCCCCTTTTTCTTCTTTGATTGGCTAAAATGGTAAGCCACTCCCCTTATACGTTTATTTTCTTCGGTTCACAAATCGGCAAATTTAAATGTATCGGTGTATTTTACAAAGTAACAAGCAGTATTTAGCAGATATTTTACCAGTGCTTGATTCATTTAAAAAGACTCGTGAAGCATGAAATGCGGTTTACATTCACTCAAAAAACAGTTTAGTCTTTGGTGAAGTGAACTCAACTCATTCTTTTGGTGTCATCGGTGCTGATTCACTTATATAAAGCATAATTGAAGTAATCAAAAAAATGTATGTCTTATTCTGTCTTTCTCTTTCAGCAACTTATCCCGTATGTGGAGGATGACAGTTCAAAACTGGAGGACCGAATGGCCAATCAGCTGCGTGCAGCCAGTGAAGAAAGAAGAGAAGTGCTGGAGGTTAATAAGGTTAGAAAAGACATTTCTAGATAGATTACATTATGTGTTTAACAGATGCTTTTATCCAGAGGCACTCAAGCATGTCTGCATGTATGAGTTCATGCTTTCTTTGAGAATCAGACCCACTGACGCTGAGATGCAGGCACTCTGTTTATTATTATTAAAATAACAAAGAAAGAGAATGTTGTCGTTAGGATTAAAACACACACACAAACACCGACACTGTGCTGAGATAGTAATGAGATACAGTTAAAGTCAGCGGTCTTATTATTAGCCCTCCTTTTATATTTCAATCCTTTTATTTTCATAATAGTTACATAATAGTTTTAATAATGAATTTCTAATGAGGGCGGCACGGTGGCTAAGTAGTTAGCACTGTCGCCTCACAGCAAGAAGGTCACTGGTTTGAGTCCTGTCAGCGGCCAGTTGGCATTTCTGTGTGGAGTTTGCACTAGGGATGTCCTGACTCCCGATCAGGTTTTTTTGCCCTTGAGTCTCGAGTCATTTGATTTTGAGTATCTGCCGATATCGAAACACGATACTTCTATAATACATAAAAAAAAGGATAAAGAAGAGCGAACAAACCGATTCAGGATGTTCCTTATTTTTTATTTAGTTCACCCTATTTTCAAGAGTTCACACTTGGATATTGCTTGATAATTACAGCAGGTTTGGCATGCTGTCCTGAATGAGAACAATGAGCTTGGAGATAATTAAAGCCAGGGCTCCTGCCTGGCCAATGAGCATGTGAGGGAATCAGGAAGTTCTCAAGAGCTCCCCCTGGTACAGGAGGAAAGGAGGGGATGGGGTGTATTGGGTATTGGTATTAACCAGTAGCACCTCTGCAACAAAGCGATGCCATGCCGCATGCATTGCTGTTTCTGTATGAAGTCATGAATGAGGTCTAACTCTGTGCCACCGCATAACTATAGATGTGTTATATATATATATATATATATATATATATATATATATATATATATATATATATATACGGAGAGAAGATTTTTCAAGACGTTTCTAAGCATATTAGTTTTAATCCCTCATTTCTAATAACTGATTTATTTTATCTTTGCCATGATGACAGTAAATAATATTAGACTAGATATTCTTCAAGACACTTCTATACAGCTTAAAGTGACATTTAAAGGCTTCACTAGGGTAATTAGGTTTAAGTTAGGGTAATTAGGCAAGTCATTAGCCCCTTTCACACATACAGACCTTTCCGGAAAATTACCGGCAATTTTCCGGAAAGGTTGTATGTGTGAACAGGTCCTTTTTGAAAATACCGGTAAATTCGTTCTGGCTATTTTCCGGAAAGAGAAGTTGTAACATTACCGGCAATTTGCCGGAATGCTGCGCTGTGTGAACGCAGAAGGAATATTTCCGGAATAAGCGCGTGCACGTCTAGAACGTGCTGACGTAAGACTTCTGCTTTAGCCAATCACAACAGTCAGACGCATTTACGTCCGCGCGGTTTGTGAGAATAAAAGCCTTTGAATATTTTTCCAGACGCATTTAGCTGCTAGAAGTTAGTCAGATCACGTTTATATGTTCTCCTTAATGCCAACTGTGCAAATAATCATCGATAAGATGCTTATGATAAGCCGTTGTTTGTTTACCTTCAAGCTTTGCGTGTGCCCATGAAACAGCCTGTGAGCGGCAGCACACGCACATATTATGAACATCTCGACATGCGAATATGATCCTGTGAAAGTTGTTTACAATATTGATCATCAAAAGAGTTTGTAATTTAGTCAAATGTTTACAAATACAAGCGCAGCCGTTTAAAGCTCATTTGTGGTGAATGATGTCAGAATTTACCGGTATTTTGGAATGGATGTGTGAATGCTCTTTTCCGGAAAATTTCCGTAACGTCCTCGCCTGTGTGAACAGCGCTTTTTTGAACATACCGGTAAAGTCGTTCCGTAAATTTTCCGGATATTTTCCGGTATCACTGTGTGAAAGGGGCTATTGAATAACGATGGTTTGTTCTGGAGACAATCCAACACTAATATTGGTTAAAGGACCATGGAACCCCCCACCTTCGGTTCAAGTCTACCTCATATCGGGGGTGGAGCTCTGCGAGCAAAGGGGGAGGAGTGGGCGTGGCCAGCAGGGGAGAAGGAGAGGAGTGAACAACTGTTTTCAGTCGACTCACAAAATGAGACAAACCATGAGACGCATGATTTTTTTAGTTTACAAAGTTAAAATGAAAAGAAAAAACAGTAACCTAATGCCCTGCTACATTTGTAATTTCATATACACACAACCACAATTTATATCGTTATAAAGATAATCGTGTTCATATAAACACTAAATGAGGACTTCTCCCTCAATCCCCGGGTCTGAATGCTGACTCAGTGCAGCAGGTCTCTTGCCCTGTCCATTTCAACCATTAGCCCTGCTGGTAATCTGGAGGATTTAGGTGAACACAGCAGCACAGCGATGTGTCTAAATGTGAAGGAACTCCTGATAAAAGACAAAGTTCGCCATTCTCCACTTCTCGTGCTGCTCTCCCGACAAAAATGCTTGCTGCATTCAAACAGCCTTGCCCTCACAGCATTGCAGGGAAAAACATGCAACAAACCTCGTGGATCATGGAAACAAACTCAAATGAGCCTTTATGAACAGCTAAATACTGTGTGGGTCCGTGGACGCGATCTCACCCAGTCATCAACGTAGGATCTCACAGCTTGGCACTGGCAGGTCTGTCTTGCTTTCAGAAAGCACGTGCAGTCATGAATAATTAAGAAGCCGGCTCTTCTCATAGGATAAGAAAACTCCGCTATGAATAATAATGAGAAACCTACACGTCATCATTGCACTTGCAGTTCTGCGCTACGTCGCCGATTTTGATCCGCCCCAAAAATCATTTTAAACCCGGAAGCTGAAATGAGCTGACAAAAGCTCAAAATTATCCAGTTTTCCCCACAATTAAAGCTGACAGCTGCTAACATTGTCTTAACTGATGCTCAACACACACACATCTGTTCAAATCTCAAAAAAAAGTACTCCAGGGTTTCGAGAACCTTTAAAGGTTCAGGACACCCTGGAGAACTTTTTTTTTTTTTATATTAACAGATTTGTTTGTGTTGAGCATCAGTTAAGACAATGTTAGCACCTGTCAGCTTTAATTGTGGGGAAAACTGGATAATTTTGAGCTTTTGTCAGCTCATTTCAGCTTCCGGGTTTAAAATGATTTTTGGGGTGGGATCAAAATCGGCGACGTAGCGCAGAACTGCAAGTGCAATGATGACGCGTCGGTTTCTCATTATTATTCATAGTGGAGTTTTCTTATCCTATGAGAAGAGCCGGCTGCTTAATTATTCATGAGACCTGCCAGAGTCAAGCCCGAGCTGTGAGACACGTCACGGACCCACGGCACGGGCACACAGTATTTAGCCGTTCATGAAGGCTCATATGCGTTTGTTTCCATGATCAAGGGGTTTGTTGCATGTTTTCCCCCGCGATCTTGTCAGGGCCGATCATACAGCAAAGCTGTGTACGTGCTGCTAACATTTTTGTCGGGAGAGCAACACGAGAATTAGAGAATGGCGGACGCTGTCTTTTATCAGGAGTTCGTTCACATTTAGACACATCGCCGTGCTGCTGTGTTCGCCTAAATCCTCCAGTTTACCAGCAGGGCTAACGGTTAAAATAGACAGGTCAGGAGACCTGCTGCACTGAGTCTGCTGGATACGGGGATTGAGGGAGAATCCTCATTTATAGTGTTTACATGAACACACTTATCTTTATAATGATATAAATTGTGGTTATGTGTATATGAAATTACGAATAACAAATGTAGCCGGGCATTAAATCACTGTTCATTCCTTTGCATTTTAACTTTGTAAACTATAAACTCATGCGTCTCCTCACGGTTTGTCTCATTTTTTGAGCTAGCTTCGTTCGCTCACGTTCTCCCCTGCTGGCCACGCCCACTCCTGCCCGATGCTTGCGGAGCTCCGCCCATTAATCATGCATCTTTTGAAAAATTCTGAAGTAGACTTTAACTGAAAGTGGGGGTGTCATGGCCCTTTAAGGGGGCTAGGGCTGGGCGATTTGGCAACATTTTAAAAAAAAATAATTTTTATAAAGTTTGACCGATTCACGATTTCTATTTTTTTTTTATTGTGTTACTAGTCTTCTTAAAACATTACAACAACATGACTGAAGTAACATTCTCTTTAAAAGTAACTTGAAAACCCATCTGGTTAAGGAACGTTGTATTTTTAATGGCCATGTCATACAAAAATCAGTCAAAGTGTAAATAAATGTAAAACAAATTCTGGAGTTAAATAGCATTACTGAAGATTTGAATAAGAAATATTTGTGTAAATATTGCAGCTGCAGGAATACAGGGGTATTTTTGCAAGTTTTGCTGAGCCTAGGAGAGATTAGCTGTCAGCTCGGCTTTGACTTTGTCTTCTGATTGAATGACAGGTTGTAATGCTGCTGCCTTTTTCTTAAAAAGATACAGTGGAAGAAAAGGACTGAACATGGAAACTGTAAAGCCTAATTTAACCCAATGTGTGAAGTTGTGGACGTATAGCAGGAGCAAATACAAGCACCAGATGTGTGTCTAATATAAAATAATATATTAAATCTATTTTTCTTTTTTCCCCTTTTAAATACCGATCATTTGCTGCGCTTTGCTCCACTCTCTGTATTATGCTGTCTGATCTGTCTGGTTTTCAACTAGGTCCGCTAAATGACGTCATGGGGGCGGCTACTTTCATTTTCACTGCTACAGTCCCTCACCTCTACTCGTGTTCAAACCAAAAGATCAGCGTGGTTTTTCACATGGCAGGCTTTTACATCCTTCATACATGTTGAGATCGAGTTTATCGACTTGATGAGGGAATGTCTTGACAATCCACACAGATGTGCAACAAGTAAAATCCTACATGACTTAACACTTAAAGTCAAGCAGGTCGCAGACCAGAAGCGCCGCGACACGCGTGCACATGACAGTTTAAACTTTCACACACCAAACGCGCACATTC